CAATACTTCCCAGTCTCTTCTCAGCGCCTGTGGTGGGCGGCTCAAACTAATTGGTGAACTCAAATGTTCTGTTTCCTTCCGCAATACCAAATTCACAGGAATTTGTTACGTCACGAAGAATGATTTAAATGTTTTGGGACTTGATTGGTTCGATCGTTTGCATCTGGCTGATGTCCCACTAAATTCTCTACGCAATACAGTGAAGAAGCATAAAATGCTAGACAATTCCGGACGGAGCCGAAGCCGCAAACCCAACAATCAGACGAAACGACAGGCGTCAACAACAAGCCCAAAGGTCCCAGATAAACCCCCAGGTAAACATCCTACTAATCATCATCTTCTCAAAAGGGGAGGTGATATGTATCCACATATATATATTTATGTGTGTGTGTGCATGTTGGTCTCTCTTTCTGTTTGCTCGGTTAGTCTGTGACCACTTCACTTGTATGGACTTGTCTCCTTTAATAATGTGTATTCTCCTTATATTATATTATATATAATATGAGTGTTTGTTGACAGTCCGTTGCTTGGTGACATATATCCATATATGTTTGTTGGCATGTCTGCTATATTCGCTATGTATAATTGGATCGACACTCCATTATAATTAGCCATTCATGTTAAGACTGTCTAATGATTTTTCCCACGCTTGTCTGAATTATTTATATATATTCGCATTCACAATTTGTGTGAACTACTTTACTTTACAACTACTTTACTTACTTACCACTTTGGTGTGAGACCATTTATTTTCGTCTCCTTGTGTTTGGACAATAGAAGTATCATCGCAAACCTAGTGGTCTTCTGATTTCCGCCTTCTCGCGTCAGGACTATTAGTTTCTCGACCAGTCCATAACAATAATTCAGCGACGAGTACATAACAATTTGGCGACGGGGAAACTAGAACATAACAATTTGGCGACGGGGAAAACTAGTACATAACAGAACCCTTCATAAGTACACACAAATTGACCCCGCCGAGGATCGAACCTAAGATCTTCAGATTATGAGACCAGCTCACTGACCATTCAGGTTTTGAGACAATTATGTAAGAGCTGGTGATAATAAGTACTATCCTAACGTTGACCAGGCCTATGTAGGTTGACGGAGGTATGGAACTCTGATGAAATGAGGAATTTTAATTATCGGCAGTACTTTCATGCAAAGAAGGAACCTCTGAAACTGTCTTATAGACCTAATTTTCCTATAATACTACATTTATATCTTTACATTGCTGTTTATATTTCCCCTCCACACTTATGACCTTGGGATCCCATTGGTTGTTGACTGTTTTAACTTACCAATGTAATTAGTCTTTCCCAAGGTCATCCGAAGCATATTTTTACAAAATTGCTGTCAACTCTTTTCGCTTTTGATACGGGACAATATAAGCCCTCTGCGTCTACGGTCTCTCTACTTGCGTCGTGGTTTCGGTGGTATCTCATCATATCGTTGTTGTTGCTAATGTTGATTAGAATAACAGGCTCACGTATTGACTACGTAGGAAGTTCGTTGGTACAACTATCAAGTGTACTAACGGTCATAAGAAAAATGGTGACTAGTACAAAGTATAAGTAGATCCTTTACGCTTGAGGAGATTGGTGGAGCAGCAAATAGAAATGATGGAGTTGCTTGCTGGTCTACAGACATCATCCCCTGATAATTCATCTTCAGCTCATGACAATATTGGTAGCGGTATTTCTGAATTTGTGTATAACTCAGATGAAAACGTTACATTCGACACTTGGCTCAACAGATAAGAAGACCTATTTACAGTGGACTTTACGAGCAAAGACGATGTATAGAAAGTTAGACTCTTCACTGAGGAAGTTGAGGCTGGTTGAGTTGGATAAAAACTCCAACTTGATTCTCCCCATGAGCCTGGCGATAGAAAGTGCGATGAGGTTATCCAAACACTCCGTCAGCAGTTTGATGACCACAGATCGTTATTCAACATTCGCTATCACTGTACTAAACGATAATGACGGTAGGGAATTCTTAACAAGACGGGAATACAAGTGGCATTCAAGTGCAGAAACTCGCTTAGAGTCAAAGTATGTTGATTAAAGGATCCCGTAGAGTCCATTAAACGATATAATAATAATAATAATAATAATAATAATAATCGAATACCCTGTACAACGACTGTGAGGCCAAGTATATAGGTCAAAGTAGTAGAACCGGGTCACAGTTAGATTAGCGAAGTACAAAAACACCTAGCCGAACCTGGATTAACCCTTGTAAAAGAAGAAATTTAGAGAAATGTTCAACTTTAGCACTACATGCAGTTGCACACAATCCCACAATACGACGTAACAATCTAATATAGAAGAATGGAACGAGATATTGATAATTAAAGTCCTATTCATCAAATCAACTTAGAATATTTTTTTATTTAAAGTGTTGGTTTGTAGGGACTTGATTAGCTACAGGATTTTCATCATGAGCTCACATTAGTTAGAGAACCATTGGAAAACCTGAGAGTACTGGACAGCTGTTTCGTCCTAGTTTGGGACTCTTCAGTAGTATGCACCCACATGGATTCGAACCCAGGACCTTCTGACTACAAGCCTAGCGAGCTAGCTCGTATACCATTAAGCCACTGGGACCCGATCTAATGACCCACGAATTCTAACTTCGGCCAGTTCACTACATAGCGCGACTCCAGCCAGTTCCCAGTGGAACATAGGGAACCTTCAGGCTAGAAACTTGAAGTTTCGGTAGCAATCGTGTCTATTTTTACGGGATGGAGTTGCTAGCCAGTCTCATCCTCAAACTTCCCTCTTCACCAGTCTTATTACTGGCTTAGAGAGGTAAAGGAGTGCGTCAGTGGCCGGGGATCGAACCCCGGATCAAATGCATGGTCGGCGAGCATTCTTACAGCTATGCTACCGAGAAGTTGTATCTAGTAAAGCTGCGAAGAACAACATCCAAGGGTAAGTTGCCAAAGGTTGACAAGCAGAAGAAAAAGAGGAGGATGAAGGAGAGCTACTATGCCATCTACATCTGCAAAGTCCTCCGTAAAGTTCACCCTGATACTGGTATTTCATCTAAAGCCATGTTAACAATGAACTGCTTTGTTAATGACATTTTCGAACGTATTTGCAGCTGAGACAAGCAGGTTGTCTCACTACAACAAGACGTTCACCATCACAAGCCGTGAGGTTCAGACAGCTGTTCATCGAAAGGAACTAAGGCTGTTACGAAGTGCAGTGGCCCAAATTACCACTTGGAATATGTGCAGTAGGAATGATTCAACACCTTTCTCAGACACCTATAAAATTCTAGTAGTTAACCAACAAACGAGAGAGAAGAATAAGAACAATAAGACTCAAGTTTCAAAGTTGTGTAGTTACCACTGGTGATATAGATAATGGAGGATTTAATCATGAGCTGACATCAGTTAGAGAACCACTGGAAAACCTGGGAGTACTGGACAGCTGTTTCGTCCTAGTTTGGGACTCTTCATCAGTACGCACTCACCGGGATTCGAACCCAGGATCTTCTGGTTACAATGCGAGCTCGTAGACCATTGAGCCACTGGGACCCAATCCAATGGTCCTTGAATTCTAACTTCTGCCAGTTCACGACATAGCGCGACCACTTCGTAATGTCTTCTTCGATGAGTTACTGCCTCATCTTCAACCTACTGTACAACTTCAACACTCTGAAATCAGTTTAAGAAATCTTCTGCACTCAGAAAAAAAAATGAACAAGTTTCAGATTTTCAACAGCAGTCAGTGGTCAGAAACTTGTCATGATGAGCTTCACGGAAAGCATCTCCAACAGCCTACTGTAGATAGACTTCTATCAACACCTGCCTTCGTTCCACTTTGAAGGCGAAATGGTCAGAAAGAGAATCATTAACAAGAAACTATGGGAATAAACTAGTCAAGAACTTATCTCCCAACCGTTGACCATCGAATGATATTGCATGCTACCCGAATGGGAAACAACGAGTTATGTGTGAGTTTAAGGGTGACAAAGAAGAGATTGTATGGGAGGAGGAGATGAGAGGATGTGCGCAATCGTGGGCCAAGCTACAGAGGACCTCAGAGAATAGAAAAGACTGAAGACTTGCCGCTGAAGTCCTATGTTCCACTTGGAACCCAATGGAGCAATAATAATAATAATAATAATAATAATAATAATAATAATAATAATAATAATAATAATGCATATACAGCCTAGCAAATGTGCACTTTGTTCCAAGAAGTAGTAACTGCCTTCTGGTATTTTCTACAAAATCGAGATCTGATGCTCGCTAGTGACTACTGACTACAGGATGGAGCTTTCTAGAGTTAGTTCTAGTGAGAACCCCAGGTTAACTGCCAGGTTTTCCAGTGGTTCTCTAACTGATGTCAGCTCATGATTAAATCCTCCATACAATCAAACCAAATCCCTACAAAACCAACACTTGAAAATTAATCTGATGCTCACTAGCGACTGGCCCTATTCAGGCAGTTAACCCGGGGTTCTAATGGGAAGCCGTGACCAGTAGGGTACAGCAGGTCGAAGATGAGGCAGTAACTCATCGAAGAAGACATTACGAAGTGGTCGCGCTATATCGTGAACTGGCAGAAGTTAGAATTCAAGGACCATTGGATTGGGTCTCAGTGGCTCAATGGTCTACGAGCTCGCCTTGTAACCAGAAGATCCTGGGTTCGAATCCCGGTGAGTGCGTACTGATGAAGAGTCCCAAACTAGGACGAAACAGCTGTCCAGTACTCCCAGGTTTTCCAGTGGTTCTCTAACTGATGTCAGCTCATGATTAAATCCTCCATGTAATCAAACAAAATCCCTACAAAACCAATACTTGAATATAGTTAATGCACAATAGATCGTGCAAGAAAACATCATCCAGTAATAATATTACTGCTACACTCACTATATTCTACATCCAGTGAGAATATAATGAATGAAGGCTTGGCAGACAAAAATCACTCTGGTTATCGTCAACAACCCTAACCAACAGCAAAAGGCACTATACTAACGCTTACCTTGTGCTAAAATATACGCCCGTGGACATCGATAACCATCTACCCAATTGGCATGAATGTACGTATTATCAGACAATTCAATACCAGTTGAATCTAAGCAAGGAACATCTAGATAACGATTACGACGTCTGTTGGAAGCATGTCTGTTATAAGAGGTAGAATACGAAGAGAAGGGATGAGTTTTAAATTAAACAACGATAACAAAATAAAAAGAAACAAATCATAAATCGTTATGTTATAAACCCCGGTTTAACCGATATAAGTAGTTGAATACCACTCATATTAAAACAATCATGCTTGCTAACTAGATCAAAGTGATCTAAACTTCATACAGCCGACATAACTCAATTACACTCAGTTCTCGACACACTATGCTTATGAAAGTGTGTAGGTGATTACTTACTACTTCCCGGTTGCCTATAACATGGAAGTTGATTTTTTCTCAGTGTGGTGAGAGCTAGCTGCTAGCCAAACTGGTAGACATTAATTTACGCCAATGTTTTTTTCCTTCACGTTCCCCAGTGGAACATAGGGCTTCAAGCTAGTGGCTTGAAGTTTCTGTAGCAATGCTTTATTTTTACAGGATGGGGTTGCTAGCCAGCCTCATGCCCAACCTTCCCTCTTTACCATCATCATTTGTGGTTTCTTAGCGAGGTAAAGGAGTGCGTCGGTAGGGGATCGAACCCCGGACCATGTGCATGGTCGGTGAGCGTCCTAACCGCTATACCACCGACGCACCACCGTCCCCAATATTGGTAGTAGTGAGAAAAATAAGAACAAAGACTGATTCAACAACCAATCAGAGCGGACTTGGCGTAGGCAGATACATATAGATTACATGACATTCAAGAAACAGTCACAAAGAGATGCAAGGTCAACTTTCTGTGAGAAACAACCAATCAGAAGACTGTGTTTGTCCGCTAACAGTAATCTATAATAATGTACATGAAAATCTATAAATATGTGTTGATTTCCTTAATAAAGGATCTGTTGCCTAGCCCTTGTCCTTTGTTGTTACATTCGGTGTCTCTGCCTACTGACAAATGGAAATCATATGCCCTGCAGTTTTTGATGGAGACATATGGATATTTGGGCAGGAGGCTTTTGCGCAGTTAAGTGGCGTTCAAGATCTGTCAGAGATGAGGCTGCTACGTAGGACGCTGATGAGAGGTCGGGAGAAAGCAGAATATGAAAGTGTGAAGCGAAATACTGACAAATGTGAGACAGGGTCAGGCAAACAAGTCACGTTGAAATGGGGGTTATTCGGGCACAATCGCAATAGTAAACAAAGAGAAACAGGTGAACATCAACCAGTATCACACGTCGGGTAATTGAGATACCTGCAATATGCAAGCCTCACCATTGTACGTCAAGGTACCACCAGCTATTGGGTTGAATTGCGTCGTAGCAAGACACATTACAAAAAAAGAAAATGAATACACAGCAGTCAGTATTCCATGTCTCAAAATAACTTACGCAAAACGTGTACAAGCTCCTTTAACCGGTGAATCTTTAAATAATGCATCAAATTCAGCAATTAATCCCATGGAACCAACACTTTCCACTCGAGTAATAAATTCTGATATAGATAAACGTGTTTCTGACACAGGATTTGTTACATACAATCGATCGCCCCCTTCTTTTGCCGACAACGATGATGAGGTGACAACAGTAGAATTTGTTAGACTATTATTATTACTATTATTAGTACTGCTTCTATTTTTCATAATACTGGACTGAGAGAAATGACGATCAGATCGATAAAGGATACGTCCATTACTAAAAGGTGATGATGTCTCGAACATTGAATCAGTCATACGATTAGTATTATTTGTCGCTAATAATCCACGTCGAGGTAATGGTGATGTCTGTAAACCGTCAATTGTTGGATGACATCCATTCATTGTGCTTAATAATTGTGAATTTGTTGGTGTTATTGAACCTGTTCCATTGCCACTGCCACAACTACCAACTCCTCCTGCTCGCCCACCACCTCCTAATGTCGAAGAGGACATAATTGTACACATAGAATCTTCAGAACATCGTCGATTTTTCACTGGAACACGTAATGATCCGTGGAAAGCAGTAGGAAAGCGGGGAAGATCTGTTATGTTGGTATTACTGCGTCGAGGCAGTGTTACAATATTATTACTCTTTGCATTATCTAATTCTTCATTATGATATAAATGAAGTTGTACAACAAATTCATTGCCCAGCAAGGGATGATGGTGATGAGCCGGTGGTGGATAACTTTGATAGATTGATGGGGATTGAGGTAGCGACGGTGGCATTGTGAAATAATCACTAGGTATACGTGATGCATGACCAGTTCGTTTAAGACAATTCAGCAGCCAATCAAAATGTTGATTCGGATTAAATTGACCAAATAAACGTTTTAATGTGGAATTTGGCAAATGCACACTTAATTCATCATAACCAACAGAATAGATCTGTAAAATGAATGAGAAAAAAAAAGTTGGAAATTAGACAAAATTTCATGTTAATTTACAAGGATGTTTAATTGGTTACAGATATGAATGATTACGAGAGCTGACATAAGTTAGAGAAGGCTGGGGATTACTGGACAGCTGTTTCGTCCCAGTTTGTGACTCTTCAGGTTACGAGACCATTCAGTGACTGGGACCAGAAATCCATGGACCGTTGGATCGGGCTCCAGTGAGTGACTAAATGGTCCAATAGCTCGTCTTGTAACTGGAAGGTCCAGGGGGTTTGGACCCCAGTGGGTGCAAACTGTTAAACAAAAACAGTTTCGCCCGTTCTCAGATGAATTAATTCTTTAAAAAAACTTGATCGACAGTTGCTTATTTTATTTATTTATTTAATTAAACGCATAAAAACTTGGTACAATATGGCAACAAGAAGGATGCGCCACACAATAATAATAAAACAACATAGATCAAGTGATATATATATATATATAAGTAGAGAACGGATAAAGACCTTCATCTGGAAGGAAAACACTCATGCTTAACAAGTTCAAACAGTATTCGTTAACTATCATCGGGAGGGGAAGAAAGAAGAAAACTGCAACACGTGTAATAGCACGCGATAAGTTTCATTGATTGTTTGCTGCTTCATTCAATTCATTGTGTGAGGGCTGAGATACTGCCTGGGCGCCCAGACCGAAACAGGCGGTTTTATTAAGGGACCACCCCCGAGCCTTTGACTTGGAGTCTAATCCGGAAGGCAGCAGAGCAGCGTCAGGAGCTGCGTTCCCATGGTTGACGGTGACCCATATGGGTTCATACGCCATTTGATCCGATTGGATACTGGAGCCCATGTACTCCATGGTAATTGCTTTTAGTTTAACCGCTATCCAAACAACCTTCCTGACATGATAGGACCTGCAGGGACAGAGTCCCAGTCAGTTTAGGATGTTGGGTCATTACGGTATTCAAGCCCGACCATCACGACAAGGTAGCAGTTATCGGCCGGGTCGACAGTTGCTACCTTGATCTGGTTGGCATATATCACAATGATTCAATTAGCTATAATGGATGCACAGAAATATACCAAGTTTTAACATGCTAGAAAGACTGTTTTACTAGCTGCTGGATTCTAAGTAGTTACCACCATACCGTCAGCTATCTAATCTATGTTTGCGGTTTGAGGGATAAGTCGTACTCAGTTGACGAACGGGGGTAAGATATTTCCCTCAAACGTTTAGCGAGTCAGCTATATGCTGTCTCTCCACCCTGAAAGAGGTGGGAGATTTAAAAAAAAATGTATCTTATCTAAATAAATACTAATTTCAGTTCAAGTCAATCATAGATCACTCCAGAGTATTACTTTCAACAGGCGAAGAACTCATGAAGGTGGAGATATGCAGAGTTAATGTCTAAGAGAATAACACGGTGTTGCTTGAAGGAAGATGCACGCAGATTTAAAAAAATCAGCCCACGCAGAATAAATACACAATTTATTGTGGTGAGTAGGTGTGAGTGTATGGAATTGTGTGGACGGTTATTACTTCCCCGCCCACCCACGCCATACAAATTGATTTCTACTTCAAAAACAGAAACAGTTTTAATGTTGTCTAACTGCATAGCTCAGACGACAGCTGTTTCAGTCCAGTCACAACGACCTGTTTGGTGTGAAGTGACTTTTGAAGTCGCCCCCCCCACCCACTTTGTATAAAGACCTTATCGAAGACTACGAACCACCGCATAGTAGTAAGTCAGAATGTACAATTTTAGGGGATAGCCTTTAACAACTTCTCGATTCCCCCCCCCCCCGAAGTGGATAAGCGGCATAACAACAATCCACCACTACACAAGAGAAGTTGTATACAGAAAGTTATTGAGAAGAGCTGAAAAACACTGCAGTACTCATCTTTCTAAGGAGGAGGATAGGAAGAAAACTACTTTCGATCGTCTTGCAGAAAAATGAGCATATATATCAACATAATTCCATCAAAAAATATCTACCCTAAAGTCAACCTACAAAAATAAAAGACTACAGTTTTAGCAGAATAAAGTGGTACCACCTTTTATTTCGTTGCCTTCTCGTCAGCTGCTTACATGCCACAGACATTATTAAAAATACATCCACAAAACAATTTTAACATACTTGCACAACATACTTGCACAAAGTTCATTTTAAACCAAAATCAGTCGATCAATATGTGCATACCCTCAAAGGTTCATAACAAGTATGGAAGACCTGAAGTCATAAATGTAAAACAAATCACAGTGGGAAAAAAGCCAATCTACAGTCAGCTTGATTATAAAGGTGAAAACATTGCAGCATTGATCAACAGAAGGTTGAGTACATCACCTATAGCCATAGCCTATCCTGCAGCTAAGCTTGTCCCTGTCTATCGAACAACTTGCTTTCCTTTGGTGCAATCAAAAATCGATAGATATCCTTCTCATGTTAACTCCAACTGTATATACAAATTTACATATATCTTCGGGACAGAAAGAAGAAGGGCATATCTACAATTTTCTGAACATGTACCAAAAAGCTTATGTCTAAAGGGAACAAATGCTTTCTTTAAACAGTGCCATCGCCAGGCATCTCCTTGACACGGGTCGGTCATGAGGTGGACGTCGAAAAGTCTTTCAAAATGATCAATAGCCACAAAAGAGCTCAATTCTCCTTAAGTTTGCTGAAGCCATTTCCATCAAGCGCCTGAAACTTGATTTATGCGTCCAGAAGGAGGCGGTTATCAGTCTTTCTTTGCGCTGCCTGGTTACTGAATATTTTCATCCCTCTCTTTCATCCGAATGCAAAATGCTGAAAAGTTTCCATTGTGTATGATTATTATTGTTCGGAATAGTGTTTAATATTGCATATATATGGATATATTTTTAGTGTATGCATATATTTATCCATTGATTTTTGTTTAAAAATGAACTTTGTGCAAGTATGTTAAAATTGTTTTTGTAGATAGTTCGAACCCAGTACCATAGTTTCAAACGCCAAAGCGTTATTTTTGTAGATATATATTTAATAATGTCTTTGGCCTGTAAGCAGCTGACGAGAAGGCGACGAAATAAACACTGATGGTACCACTTTATTCTGCAAAAACCACCGTAGTTCTTGCTTTGTTCAAATTCATTAAGGGGAATAAATGTATGAAAAATAAGAGAACTCCAGAAAAAGTCATCTTAACACGTATAATGAAGAACGTCTCTAAAATCACTGCAAGAATATTCAAAACCATTATAGGAATAGATATCACAGTGTTAACCAGGAAAGCCACTTCAGTCCATCAATGTAAGATGGTAGAATGTGATTCCATTTCAAATATCACACAGTGATACAATGTTGATAGCTGGATGACGTAATAAATGGAATTCACAACCTTAGTAGCACTGCTATATATAAAGAAGGAACACCAGAGGCCGTAAACAGGATTCTCATTGAGCCCGGAATTAGAAAAGCGTTGAAACCAACCAACCAGCCAGCTCACTCAAAGATAAACTTTGTCAGCTTAAGGACCCAATAAATTTTAATTAAGAAAAATAATATAATTTACCAAATACCATGTAATGACTGTGAGTGAGGTCGATTACATAGGTCAAACTAGTAAACAGAGGTCATTTAGATTATCGGAATATTAAAATTTAGCTAAACCTAGAATCATTCAACCAGCTAAGTGAAATAACTTAGAAAAAAGTTCACTCAATGGATAGCATTCACTTGCATGTAATCACAAAATAGGGTGTGACAAGGTGAGAGTATGAAAAAGGGATATAATAGTTAGGTGAAGAGAGGTTAATCAATGAGAATCTTTGTGTTTATCGATTCAACACCACAGACGTGACGCAACGCCAACACCGATGACATTGAAAATCACAATAAACAACAAAATTATGAAATTTATATGATAATGAGAAATAAACAACTGTGCTCGAAAGGTCATCACTAAGTGTTAAACCAAATAAACTTATCTAATATGGACTATAGCTTCAATAGCTATATGACAATGGCATGTGTCAGGTGATCCACAGTGAAAAACTCAGTGAGGCGTTTGAATTGAATACAAGAGAGAGATAAGACTTCCTGCCTATTATCATCGATGTTATTCCTAGTTGTACTGGACTGAGTTATGCGTTAGACTAATGGGGGGGGGCGGGGGTGTGAAGATAAATTACAAGACTCTAGAAGATCTGGATTCCGCAGATGATTTATTTCTAATGTCGCATAAACTCGAAGAATTGCAGGCGAAAAGCGACAAACTGGAAGAAGAAGAAGCAGGCGTCAAAGACAGGACTCCATGTGAATATAGGGAAGACGGACGTCATGAAGATAACTAACCAACAACAACAACAGCCGACACGAATCACTATCAACGAAAGAAATTTGTTGAAAGAGGTTACTTCCTTCACTTATCTAGGAAGCGTCCTACATGCAGTCAGTATGGATGAGGATGTCAGAACAAGAATTAGAAGGGCAAAACAGACCTTCATTGATCTGAAATCGTTTTAGAAATCTTCTCCAGTCAAAATCTGAAACGAAATTCAGGTTTTCAACAGAAATGCGAAGTTAATCAGTTCTTCTATATGGGTCAGAAACTTGTACAAAGCGTCACGTAAAGCATTTCCAGCAGACGTTTATCAACAGCTGACTTCACTGTCTCCATATTGAAGACCGAATAATGGCAGGCCGCGTGTGACCGGCCCCAAGCAGTTGTCCCCTGGGCTCTGCGGTCACGCAACCAACTTCCACGGTGTGGGCAGCCGGGAAGTAACAATCGCCCTCACAATCCGAAATGCACACGAAACCTCTCTATTACTCACTCATCTTTGTCTTCATCTTCATCTCTATCATCTTGCCTTCCTTCCACTGATGCAACTCCTCGACTTGATAGCTCTCCACTTCCTCTCCACTCTGCGTCCACTAAAAACGATGGAAGCCAAAAAACCACCACCGACAGCCTCTTAAAGCCGCGCCACCAATTTCATATAGGAGCTCTTAATGT